GAATAGCATCAGGAATTATTTGCCCTGGAGCACAGACTAAGCCAATAGTTTGTTAGCATATCTAGGTTGACTCTTGAGGTAAGTAATAAAAATATAATCCCCACCTTAACAACTGTAGTTCTGCCAACCAGTTGTCTAGGTGCACACAACTATGCCAGTAAGAATTTGGTTGAGCTAGGCATATGCTGAGTGAAGCCACTGCACAGTGGTGGTGGCACAGAAACTCCCCTCAGCAGTACATGTTGTGTACACAGCAAAGGAAGTGAGGACAAGACAATCACTTTAAAAAAAAAAAACAACAAAACACCAACCCACAGCAATTCCAGCATCGTCTGAAGAATCAGCGTCATTAAAAATCTCCATATTAACCATAAGAGCAATTCATTTAATGCAATGACAACTTTATTGAAGGAAAAAAACCCCAGCACTTGTTAAGTAAAGATTTCACTTCATTACAGAGAAAGTTGTAAGTTAGGAAAACAGATGTTTATCAAAATAGAAATTAAACAGTGTAAATACATAGAAAAAGCACAACAGCAAACAGAATTATTAACAGTAAAAAACATTGTGGAGAATTTCTGAGAGTTTGGTTTATTTTACAAAACAATTCCACAGCTGTTAAAAAAATTTAGTGTTGTCACATTACAGTGATGCACGTGGTTTTAAGAAAATATACTATTTCTGTGTTTTCTGTCCTACATGGTCAGTATTTGCTATGGTTGTAAACATTAGTATTTAAGACAAATGTGTTTAAACATTATCCTCCTCCTCAGTTTTGTGAATCTACAATAGCAACAGTGATCTTACTTTCATTAACACAATTAAGGACCAAAACTAAGCAAGAACCATTCTCAGAAACTCAGCAGAGGTTCTTTCAAACTCTTAGCACACAGCAGAAGGGGATGAGCCTCAGGTGCCCACGCTGCTCCACAAGGCAGTTCCCAGAACATGAGTTTTAGACCACATGCAAGCAAGTGCCATGAGCCTTCAAATGCATTGCATGCCAGCTGCAGTCTACCCACAAGTTGTCATCGATTCAAGCCTGTAATCCTGCACCTAGCTGGAAGCCACCCCATAGCAGAGTCTCTGCCCTCTCCCGAACTTGCATAGTGAGTATTCACACAAAGCCTAACACACTGTCTTTTTTAAAACGTAATTTCTTAAAATAATTTCAACTTGGTGCAGAAATTTCTTCCTTGTTTTTTGTAACAGCTCATGAACAATCTAAGCAAGATGAAATTGTTCGCATCACCAGAGTACAACCATCTTAGATAGTACCAGTATTTACAACGGACCTCATCACATAACACGGAGCAAAACTTTGAAGTAATGAATAAAACCCCCCACATTTTAACATACAGAATCTCAGTACTTTGGGACCAGATGACTACTACCCTCCTCATTTCCATTTCTACTGTATGTGGAAATTCAGCTGATCCCAGATATGCGTATTTCATACTAGAACTGTATATTAAGGCTGCTTGGTTATGGTTGGTTATGTTATCTGTTCTGCAAAAAGTAAAAAAAGTGGATAGGCAAGTTGACCAACAGTAAGGCTGGGCAAAAAGCACTTTCTGGTAGAACACCAAATCCTACCAAGATGGGCATCCAACATCATACAAGTTTCTTTAGGAAAGTCAGCCTTGAGTTACGTGCTGTAGGCAACCAAGCAAGGACTTTGGGACGGAAGCAGCTTTGTGATTTAAAACAAATGTGTCTTTGCAGTAGAGCACAGACAACAAACGTTCCTGCCTTGAAGGACATAAAGATAGAAAGCTAGAAAGGGCTTCAGAAATGCCCACTATGCTTCCTGCCAAGCAGATAAACAAAGCTGATTGTATCAAAACTTAACACAAAGTAGTTTTAATGACAAAAAAATGGTACAATGATATAATCTAATTCAGACTGAAACCGGTCAAGAGGGAACATTCATATACTAGTTTACTCCCTGATTACATAAAAATCATAAAGTATTTTAACTAAGTAAAAAAAAAATCTTTTGCTGCTAAAGTTGTCAATAGCCTGAACACAGCTACTTACAAGTGAGTAAGAATCAGAAGAGTTTTGTTCTGATAAAGAGTTATTTTAAAAATCAAAACTGCTTGTAGATGAAGTGACAAACCCTGAGTATGTTTCACATATTGGCAAGAACATGGTGAGTTTCTCCTACTGTCTGACCTTCACAGGAACAGAATACAACACCAAAAGGCAACATAAACCCTAGTGGCACTGGGGTGATCCTTATGTCTTTGCCATCTCCCCTTGGGTTCCCTTCCTTTAAGGGCACAATTGCTTAGCCTCATGTGCTATGCAGCCAAAGATCTGTTACACTCTTACAGAACAAAAAGCTGTGGAGCTGGAATTACAGCTTTAAAATCATGGGGGGGGTGGGGTGGGGGGTGAAACCCATTTAAGTTTACCTGCTCTCTATTGGTAGTTTCCTAAATTTCCTACTTCTAAGTTTCTGTGCTCACAACAGTCAGCTAAAAGGTTCCAGTTAGCTAGTATGCAAGCTGAAAAACTAATATTCAGCATACCCAATTCTAGCGTTGTTCTAGAGGAACTGCTAGAGAGTCAGGGTACCAGAATCCTGCACAAGCTAGTCAAGGAATAAGCAAAAGGCTTTTACTCCTTCTAATCTGAAGTATTCAAAAAAAGAACCCCAGAAGTCAAATTCCATTATGTTGACTGCTGATGAGCTTGGAATGATGATCCCAGTTAACATAACTTTCCTGGAGAAGGGAAGGAGAAATAATATATGCTACACTTGTAGTGTTTTCCAGGAACACTCAAAGATGTTAAAACTAAAGAAACATTGGAATGTAAAAGGCATTATGGTTGCATTTCAACTGCCCTTAGACACAGGAATTCTGTAAACATGTCCTAATAAAAGACTAACACTGGTCCTTTGACAGATGTAAATTAGGTTTTGAACCTACTCCCTGGTAAAAAAAAAAAAAACCAAAACCAGACACACATCAGTTTATATACTTATCTTAGATCAGTCAGGGAAAAGAAGTATCAGTGCTCTTTAATTCCCAGTCTCTCTTAGGCTTTTAACTAATTCTTCCTTTCAAGAAAAGTAAGAGTCAGCCTAGTTATTTCAACAATTTCCAAATCCTAGGGAGAAAAAACAACCACCAGGACATAGAACTTGAACATCATCCCATATAATTGATTCAGTGCCATATTTTCAAGGTGGCATTTTCCATTCAAATGCCTTTTTAACAGCACCTCTAGCCAGCTGGAATCCACAGAAGGCCTGTTAAAATTTCCCTTTCATACCATCCCCAAAAGGGAATCTTTCTTTTCAGAGGATCCTAACAACAGGGTGGTACCGTACTCTATGAATTATTAGAAGGACACTCAAATTTAAGATTTTGAATTAACTCAGTTTCTAGTAACTTTCTGGAAGCCATAGAATTATGTTGCTTCACTGTGGTCTTACACCTCATTGCCAAGTAGATCTAGGTTTTTCCTACATTAAAATCTTTGTGGTACAAGTCAGGGATACACATATCATGAAAACACAATGCTGTTAAATGACTAAACTCTTGGTAGATGGAGGATGAGAGACTTCAGCACATACTGAATTCCACTGGATAATCACCTTGGTAGGCACCGACTCCAGTAAGGCAGCTTGGTAAGAGGAAACATGAAAGCAGTTGGAACAGCATCTCACACAGCAGAAGCAGGGATCTGTGCTCCAACTAATATTAAACAACCAACCACTGCAATGGTTATGATTATACATAGCTCAGAAGATAAAGAGAATGTAGAGCAGCCTTGGAATTTGGATACCAACTGTCCAGCATTTGTTTGGAGCTGGCAGCTAGATTGTTACATGCTTTCCTTGCCAAGACAGGCAATAGAAAATTGTACTTTCTCTTCAGAGCAGAACAAGTTCACGAGTGCATGCAAGAGCTTTGGGAGAAACGAAACTGATCTCACTCACAAAAAAAAAAAAAAGAAAAAGAGAAATGTTGGAGTTTTAACTTATTTACAAGTTCAGAAGAAAACATTTTCTCTCTAGCCCAGAGTGCTTAAACAATAGGCCACTTCCACCTTATCAGAGTTTGTCCTTTGAGAAAGGACATAACATAAGCTCTCTCTTTGCTTACCTATCATGCCCTCAGCTTCACACTGCTCCTATGCTGCAGTTGGGGGAGAAGAGAAGCACCTTGCTTCATGTGAAAAATTTCAGTTTCCTACTTGTATGTATCGCCATTAGCTGTAGGCAAGGCAAAGAACTTAGGTTCCTGGCAGCTGAAAAATGCTATTAACCTTATTTTGCAAGTGCTTTTCCTATAGGAACAAGTCTTTACAGATTAAAATGTCCCTTTCATGTATTTTAAGGAAACACCATCAGTCTAAACTGAAAATTAAATACTTCATTAAAGATTCAGACATTTCATACTTACTCACAAACAGTCTTTTCATTTAGAATTAAATCTTTTAGAAGTCTCATAAGCCTAAAATTTTGCAAGAGAGGCAGGAAAAGAAAGAAAACCAATATTCCATTATCGAAAGCAAACAGTGCAAAGATTAAGTGACATAAGGCTATTTAAAAAACAAAAACAAGTTGCCAGTAAGAAATCAGTTGACAAAGAAAATTTCTTTTTCTTGAAAAAGAAATTCTCTAGACTGGCATAGTCTCATCAGAGTTGAGGTCTCCATTTTACAGACTTCATGTATTTCTTTGTTACTTTTGCAAAACCAAACAAATACATGATTTTACATAAAGATTATCACAACAAATTCTGGATCTCTACCCAGCTCTTCTGCCAGACTGAACTTCATTTGATCACGAGCACCCTGTCCTACAGATACTATTGCTTACAAAACCAAGCAATTGCATATGCTGGATTTAACACAAGGAGCTTCTAACAACAAGCTGAAAGGCACATGTTTAAGACAGAAGTAGGAAAAATACATACACAGTGATCTTAACATAGTTCTACTATACTTCCTAGAACTTTGTGAAGCATCCAGTATTCCTTTTAGGACAGACAGACCGAAACACATTTCTTCACAGCATCCCTACAGGCAGGAGAAAAAACAAACAGAGCCACCTCAGTTATGCTGCTTGATGAGACTCATCCATGCTGCTATCACACTGACACTGAGGACTTCAAAGATTAGCTGACCATGTATTAATTGCACTTCCATAATTTGCATGACTACATGAATGCATTAGACAAGGGGGTCTGCTCACCGTCCACCTGCCCAACTGCAATGGAAATGACACCTGTATGCCTGTATTGAGGGGGAGCACTGAAGAAGGGTGGAGCTGATGGAGCAGGATAAGAACGGTGTGCTCAGAACAGTGCTCGTGGGGGAGAACAGGAAAAAGGGTACATGGACAAATACACTTGTTCTAGTAGCATTTTGGACCACCATTTAAAGCTTACCTTTGGAATGCCCAAGTTTAGCATGTGGTCAGCATGCTTACATACTTTGACAGGAAGCCTTGTCATTTAATTTGTGTTCTCCCACTACGGAAGATGCTTAGTTTCCTTTTCAGGTTTAACTACATGCATTTCCTCCCCCTAAAACACCACCATGGAAAACCTCTAAAGCCATACATTACAGTGCCTCTATAAAGTAATCTTCTGTATCATTAAACCTCAAGATGACAAAAAGTAAGGGAGTAGGGACACTTACCTTGCAAATGGTATGAAGGAAATGCTGTACCTAAGAAGAAAGGTTAATTTTAAAGTTACTCTTCATGTCAGATTTTATTAGAGTCACAAACAAGAAGAACCACCCTTCTGATGCTCTAAACAGGTAACTGCAAGATAGACAACCAAAATGAAGCTCTGAGTTTGTGAGCCACAGGAATGAGTATTCTTGCAAGTCATCTTAGCCCAGCCAGGTTGTGAAACACTATGGCAAAATCAGGGTGCATATTGTAAGCAGCATTTTAAACACAGTTCTCCTGCACATAATATTCTTCATACGTCAACACCTACAGGCAGGTGAGATGAGCCTTGAGGGCTGGCTAGATGTTCATATCAGTTTCTATAATACTTCTGTGACATTACACAGAGCATATAGAATCATAGAATCATTAAAGTTGGAAAAAAACCTTTAAGATCATCAAGTCCAACCATCAACCCAACACGACCATGCCCACTAAACCATGTCCTGAAGTGCCACATCTACAAATATGGTAAAGAACACTGACACTTAATTTGATTGGTATATCTGGGTCTTTTAACACGACAAATTCAGGAGAGTGTAAAAGAGGAATACCAGACAGTAAGCAACAAATTGATTTAAAAGGGAAAGAAAAACACACTTGTTTTACTTCAGGCTCACAGAAATTAAACACATTCAGAGGAAATTACCCCAGAAATGGAACCCTGAACTCCATCTCCAAAGCCTCTGAAGTGGTATGAGAGACCAAGAAGCAGGAAGAAATCAGCTCCTCATTGATGCCTTGTCTTGCATCTAGGGGAATTGTGAGGTAAAAATTCTCATTCCCTCTAACTCAAGGCGGGTCAAAACCCACTCACAATTCAGCTACTGATGTTAGGTGCATTAGAAAACGGAGCGCATAGGGAAGAAATCACTTACCATGCCAAGGCAAAAAACTGTAAAATGCAGAAAAGGAGCGCAAGTCCTTTCTTAGGCCACTGGAGGAAGAGAATAGGGGCCAAGGGGGAACATAACACACAATGAGACAATGGAAGCATAGTATTTTTAAAATACACTCCATTTATATATACATATAGGATTTGAGTACTCACCCAGAAAGCAGAACACAGTGTTAGTATGAGACACGACTAGAAGAAAACAAACAATTTCTATGAAACATAGAAACAACTCCAGTTTTTATAGCTACTGTAACACCATAATGGGTTCCTTCACAGAGACAGAAACAGATTACATAACTTCATAGTTTTATCTAATCCTGCATAAGAGCTCCCCTTATTTAAAATGCTCTCATTATTACAATTCTGAAGTGAAATAAAGCAATGAGGAAATATCAGCCTGATATCTCCAGAAAATAATTTTATGGCTGCAAAGGAACAAAAGGAGGTTCCTACAGCTCTTTTGCAACATCAGCAGGTTCCTACTTCATCCCACACACTTCTTGGTGTCATAGGTGTACACCACACTTTATCATTTTGCTAAATAAAACTTTGAGTTACAACTCTAGTCTTTCTGCTTCTGTACATGCCACATTCCCTGTTGATTCTCAAGGTTACTGTGGAGTTGAAGTTATGACATAACTTAATTCTTACCAATTAAAACTACAATACTCTTTCAAGAACTTTCAGCTATTGCTTAGTAGCTCTCTTGTTTCACATAAGGTCCAGCACAACCATTCAAACCAGCACTTTTGCCTTTTTCAGAGTTGCACTGTGTCTTTACTACAGTTAAAGTCTTGTGGGGTAGTAGGTCATTTTGGATTATTTTCTGGTTTAACCCTCAGTTTTAACAGAAGCTTCCTTTTAGTGCAAGTTTTCATTTTCAATGTAAGACACGATAGGTCATTTAGCTATGACAGATGCTGATACTTAATCTTCCTTCATCAACATCTAACAGCCTTTTGATACACATATACCATTGTGCTAGTAGAGATTATAATGTGCATTTTTCTGCTTGAGAAAAAGATTTAGTATTGTATATTCAAGACAGTAACGCATGCATTGCCAAAGAAATCATACACTTTACCTCAACCATGATTACTGACATTAAATGTAGTTTTTCCCATTTGTCTTAAAGTGGCAATTTGTATATTGGTCTAAATACTACATGATACATCTAACAACTGTCTGTATTCCAGTGAAAAACAATCCAGGCATTCTCCTGACTCCAGGCATCCTAAATGCATACAAAACAAATACACATCACCTTCTTGCCTGCTGCTGCATACACAGTCAATTTCTCATGCTCTATCAGTTGCCTGCAGCTGCTCTGGATGTTTAAAGAGAAAATAGGAAGCAAACACTCTGAAAACATGCACACTGAAAATGGGAGGACACTTTCATGCAAGTTAAACCACCTTCCAGATTTTAGACTCTCCAAGACAAAATGGGAAAGTTGAAGAGGCAAAAAAAGCACATGAAAAATAATTCCAGGGGCTGCTTCAGTTGAATATTGAATTTGCAATTTCCCTGTGTCATATGAGGTTCAAAACCTGAAGTTATCAGCCAGCTGTGATGACTTCGTATTTTAAATGCAAGATGACCAAGGTTGCTCTGTCAGGAAATGACAATTTTATCAAGGTAGAAATACCTACACACCTCTTTAAAGCAAATCAGATAGAATTCAAAAAGTCAAAATCATGCAAAATAGAATGTCTAACAACTTCCATAGTACAACTTTCTAAAAACTAGTTTCCCATCTTTTAAGCAACATGAAAATATGATGTTGTGACCTCAAGCACCCTAAAAAAGCACGTGCATGGTTCACACACCCCAGCCACAGACTCTTAATGCTCATTTAGCATAACAACCTGGCTTCAGCTCAGTCTTTTGCAATAGGAAGGTGGTTTTCTGGTGCTACACACATCTTTCCACTACAGCAGATGTGTGGACTGTTTTAAGGAAAAAAACAAACAACCAAGCCAAAAAACCTTGCACAAACACATCTTGAGACATAGTTTGATCAATGTATATGAAAGGACTTTACAATGGAAATTGTTTACAGGTTAGCAGGAGTTAAAACTGATTCCTTTGATACTTACCAGCATAACAATTGTGGCAATCAAACGTGTAGGCTCAAACATCCTTTTCAATTGTTTCATTGGTCCCATAAGAAAAAGAGTGCTGTGAAAAACAAAACAAGATGAACACAGAGGTAGAAAGGTGAAAGTGAAACTAGGTAAGATTCCTTATTAAGGGGGGTTATTTTGTTAAATTGTCTGCTGCCTTATGGGGCATCAGTATACTATGCTGTTATGGTAATCAGTGCTGCATAAGAAACAAGATATACAATGAGACAAAATCCATTCCTGCTTTTCTTTGAGCAAGGTATTTATTGTATAATTTTAGTCACACTTGTTCAGTTACAATTAACATAAGTAGAGCAGAACTATCAAGCTAAAAGCATGGGTCAAGGTCAGTTTCAACTAGTTCATTCTTAACAGATGCTTTTTTAACCTGCTTTTCAAAAACACCAGCCACAGAGGCTCTGCATGGATTGCCAGGTAATCCAGCTCAATTCCTCTACATAAAGGGCTGTTTTCAGGCCTGGATCCATTCTCTGATCCCTGACCAGATCTGCAGCCCTCATTTAGAGCCCTGGTGATTGATACTGCATGAACTATGCAAGGTGAAAGTTTTACCTAAGGTAGTATTTCTGCCTCACATACTGTATTACTCTGCCTTATTACTATATTATTTCCAGTTCCATCCCTTGCACTTTCTAACATCTTGTTAGGTTTCCTCAACCACAGAACGTCATGTCTGTCACAAAGTCAGTGGGGCTATGCTTCAGGAACCTCAATTGCCATGAAGGCTTATCAAACAGGCCTATCCAAATATATTCACCAAAACACAGAGAACATGACCAAACGCAAAATGGCAAAGAATTATTTTTATCTCACGGGGCAGGACACAACACTGAAAAAAAAATCAAAAAACTTCAATGCTCAAAACGAGTTTGATTCTTCTTTACTGATGAGTAACTTTTACCTTGAATGCATTGCTAATAACAATAAACAAAACAAAAATTTTCTTTACCATTTCAGGCCACTACTGGGGAAATGCTATTCTTTAAAATTCAGCAACAAGAGAATGATCTACATATGCAAATCTTCTCACAGAAATGCAACAGTTTCTACCACTTATGCACCTTCACCTATCACTCTAATTTCTCATCTTTATTAGGGAATTAATATATGAAGATTCTTACCTCCCAATAGATGCAATATTCCCCAGTGTATAAAACACTGCAAAGAGCACCAGCCCTTTCGTTGGTACCCATAGCAGACAACTACCCTAAAAAAGAACATTGGGGGTGGGGGGAATTAATATTGTTTTTAAATTGCAAAAGAAGTATATCCAAGAAATGTCACAACACCAAAGAAGTCATAGGAAGAGTTAAACCCAAAACGCAGAATCACACACAAAAGTAAATTGCATTTTTTTGCATTCTTGTTAAGAATTAATGCATTGCATCTAACTGGAACTGAGTCAGATGTCTTCCCAGAGACAAAAAAAATCAAGCAAGAGCATACAGCAAGGCTGTAATTACTGGGGCCCCTGAAATGCAAGTATCAGGGGGATCTGGCAAAAAAATCCTTACCAAGAGGGAGCACAGGCATCCTATTGCAAAACAAGCAATGAAGCCTTTCACTCTGGTGCCCCAACCTAATGAAGTTGCATCAATAACCTAGAAACGAGGAGAAAAGTGGAGAAAACGAAGAGTGCAAGTTATTATTTACTAACAGGTTTTGCCACATACCAAGCGTGTAAGTTTCCCCCAAGATACGCGACTGTGCCCTAGCATAATCGGAGCCTCCGTTTTTAAGCACCCTCTTTCACCGCCCGCGGGAAGCGCGGGAGCGGCCGAGGGGCAGCCCCGCGAGGAAGGAGCGGCGGGGCGCA